AATGCATGGATTGCTGTATAAAATGTCAACAGCAAAAGGAAAATCAGAGTATTCAAAAGAAGGTGTCAAAGTGTAAGTGACTACTGCTCAAACTATATATTTCTTGCAAATTATTCACAGAGTGATCATTACTTCCATGTTGAATTAGCGTATTGAGGTACAGTGATGTCTGGCAATTATTTAGGGATTGCTTGTGAATGCAACTAGAACTTATGTTGTAGAAATCATAAAAGGGTTGAGATCCATTTGGTCTCTTTTATATTGCTTTCGTCTTATAATATCTCGAATTTAAATTGTCCGAGTGAAAGAAATCCATTTCTGTTAATCTGAATTTAGTGGCTTTGTGGTTATCTAATTTACTGGGTTTTCTAATTGGCTTCAGGGAGGTATATGCTTCATTTGGTGGGCTTCAGATGATGCTGAAAGGCGATCCAACCAGTTGTACTAAGTTTAAGATTGATCAGAACATGTTTTTGCTTATTAGGAAATTGATATGAAACTTTGTCATATAATTGAACACTGTGGCTTGTTAAACTCACAATTTTTCTGTATACGCCTTTAGATACACTAATTCTACTTTTGTGTTTCATTAACGGTGATATGTTGCAGATTTTCAATGTTCTGATATTCCTTGTTTCTTTTTTTACTTGGTGAACCGTTTTCTGAGATTAGGCAGCGGGCTAATAATTTATAGTGTATAAGGTAAAACAAAAGATATATTATTCCCAGACTTCCACAGGCAAAAATCTTGGATGATTTTGAACTCAATAAATTCTCAATTAATCTCCTTTTTTATGAAATTATTATTAATCCTCCTATCAATTGGTTTATCCCTTATTAGGGGATGGCCATGGTGCAAACTTTTTTTGTCTGCATTTCTTTTCATATTTGAAGGGGAAAAAAAGAATTGTAGACTTTGTGTGGGAATTGCGTATAATTTGATTGTGTTGATATTTGCTCTTTCATGCATCTTCTTTGTTATATTTAGAGGCTCTGGTTGTAAATCTCTCTAGAGAATAAGAAAATGACAAAACAACTGCCAATATAGAAATTAAGACAGTTCGAAAAGTAAATAGAAAGCAAAAGTAAATTGAACTTATAATAACTTAAAAATATAAAATGCCAACAAAATGTCACTGGGGCTTGTTCTTTTCTTTTTCTTTTTTCTTTTTCGGGTAAGAGGGGCCTTGTGCACATAGAGGGCGTGTGCTTAGAGCAAGTCCAGCAGCTAAGGCTGGACTCGAGCTGGGGGGGTTTTGGGCGAAAAACAGGTTCCAGCAGTGCAGGCTAGCCCGAGCTGCATGTGGGGGCCACGAAGACAGGCTGGCCAAAGGGCAAGTCCAGCCCCAGGTCCAAAACTTGGGCGGGCTGACGTCAGCAACAAAAAAAAATTTAAAAAAAATCTAAAAAAATACAAAAAAATTCAGATTTTTTTAAAAATAAATACTTAGTCATATTTTTCACTTCCCACACCAAAAATCTTATCCGAAAATATTATCCAAATTAATTGTTTAGGTAAACAAATTTGTGAAAAAAACATAAAAATGAATAGTGTTTGCCCTTTGCCATGGCAACTGCTGGAAACCAACATTGCTTTTTGCAAGGGCAGCCACTATTCACGTGAATATATACATAAAATAAGACAATGAGGTTTCAACCTAAATAAACTCTAGCCCAGCCGTCTTTTTGCAAGAACTCCAAAGACTCCAGCCGCCTAAAATCCCT